CCGCGCATTCCGCGCCCCTCGCCGACCGAGGCCGGGCTGGGCAGGGCCGCGAGGGCAGGTGAGAGGCGCCCGCCCGGCCGCGAGTCCTCCTCGTGGGCTCCACCGCTGGCGCTGGCTGTGTGTCTTGGGTTGGTCCTCCGGGAAGGCTCCTCCCTCCGCGGCGGCTGGACTCCGCGCGGCTCGGCTGCAACAGTGTCCCGACTGGAGCTGTGCGCCCACCCTGCCGTGCCGAGCGCGCCGGAGAGGGGGCGCCCGCCGGACCCCAGCCCCTCACGCCCCTCGCACCACCGACTGGTAAGGCTGCGCTGGGCTGCGGGACGCGCCGGGGGACGTCGGTGCGGGACAAGACCGCGAGCACTGGGCACGTGCCCGCGGTGTCACCGAGGACCGGGGAGGCGGCGCAGACTGCAGGGAGCAGCTGGGGACGCTGGGTCTCGGAGACTCGTGGGGAAAGGGTCCGGGCTGTAGAAAAGACCCGAGAAGTGGACGCGAGCGCGCAGGCCACACGGCCCCGGCGCCACGGTCCTTCTTGCGGGCGTGAGCAAATGGGCTGCGTGGCGAGCGCGGCCGCCGGTGCGGGGCTCCTGCGCTGGTCGCGTGCCGGTTCCAGGAGGAGGACGGACCGCGGGAACAGAGCCTCAGGAGCAGCCTGCGCGCGCCAGGGCCCCGGGTGCACCGACTGGTGTCCGGGTGGGCGAGGCCACGCTGCCCAGACTGTGCCAGCTTCCTTAGTTTGGGTGCGCGTCTTTGTGCAGAACGTGAGAGACTGTGTGCAAGGACCCCTACTTGAGGGTGCTGCCTGTTGAAGCCCGGGTGCCTGAGCCCAGTGCGATGCGATGGTCTCCCGTGAATATTAGAATATTCGTCTGGCACCAACTTTGCCTTTCCTTTGAACGTGGAGGACTCCGATTGCGATTGCCGGGTGGCCACTCATGTCCCCTGCTTCCTTCCCCTCCCCCTGCAGAGCAGAGGGCACTGTCTACACCTGCCTCTCTCCACAGCTGTCCTGCAATTGAGAGTGGAGCTTTCTTGCCTGGAATATTTTATAGACCACGGTGGCAGAAAGCTAAAGGAAGTTGAAATAGTCGCCTTTAGGTGTTGGGCTACTTGCTGGGAATGTTGTGAGGTTGGACGTCCTAGAAAGAGACTATTTTGAATCTTGAGAAGTAGGTTGGTGCTGAGGACAAGTCCGTGTTACCAACCTGAGGATGGTTCTTTTCCTTGGGGCTGAAGCCCGGACTTCCTGCTTGCTAGAAAAGTCTCCAGCCTCAAATCCCCCGTGCTCTTGCTCTCCAGAGAGAAGCAGCCTGAGCAGCTCATTAGCCTGGGAGGAAGGGTGGCCTGATTCCCTGTTGTGTCTAGGGGATCTGCAGGAATGACACTGTGTGGCGGGTAATGAAGAGGGTGCCTCAGACCTGGATGGGGTTATGCATCCTGAAGAGCTAGGGATAGATATGGGTAATGTTCACTTCTCCTTGGAAGGGAGGGGCAAGAACCTGTCTGGGGTGGGACTCTTGTCCTCTTCTCGGCCACACTGAGGCATGAAGATTGCGATCTGTTTAGCCAGAGGTGCAGTGACATAAAAGCACTGATGGAGCTGAACGGTACAGGTTTGGAGTCAGGCGGACTTGGACCCAAATCCCGACAGTTTCTACCTTTAAGACCTGTGCCTGAAGAAGAATAATTAATACCTGGCTAGAAAGTTTGTTGTGAAAACTCACTGTTTGCAAAGTACCTACTAGCTCAGAGCCTGACACATCTCTCCCCCCCCCCCCTTTGGGAATTAGTAAGTGGTTTTGGGGCCAGGTGTGATTACTGGCTGGTACACTTCTGTAATGCCAGCAGTCCAGAGGCTGAGGCAGGAGGATTGCTTCGAGTTCGAGACCAGCCTGGGCTACAAAGTGAGGGGAAGGGCAGCCTGAAATGCGTATCCAAACTCTGTCTCAAAAAGACAAAAAACGGATTAAAGCACCTGCTTAGGCAGACACAGGGGCCGGGGGTTTGATTCCCAGGCCTGCCATGCCGGTCCTGTCTCTGGGGCGTGCTGAAACAGCGATTGAGACTAGGCGTGGTGGTGCACGCCTGTAATCCCAGCACTTGGGAGGCTGTAAACAGGAGGATCACTTACGAGTCTGATCTACGCAGTGAGACCCTATGGACTCTGTCCTAAAATACAGTCAGTGCTGCTATATCTCCAGCACTGACTGCTTCTGAAAGGACAGTTTTCCCCTTGCTTTTGGCTTTCCCATCTGGATGTTGGAGAGATTCTGGTCAAACCTATGTGACTGCCCCTGGTAGGGACTGGTTTGATTTGGGTAGTGTCTTGTGCAGGTAAGGTTTAGGAGGAAGACAGTGTCCTGTGTCTTAGTTGCTGGGGAGGAGGCTGTTACAGTGGGCTCTGAGACTGCCAGGCTGCAAGGGGCCACGAGCTGCCCCACACACTCTGCTGCACACCGTGGGTCTCCTCCAACTTCTTTTTTTTTTTTTTTTTTCAGAACCAGGGATTGAACTCAGGCCCTTGAGCTTGCCAGGGAGGTGCTTATTCCACTGAACCATCTCCCCAGTGCCCCCCCCCTTTTTGTGGCCAACTCAGCCCACTGCAGCATATGGTGCCAGATCCATATTCTTTGCTTAAGCTTTCCTAAGCAGGTGCTTTAGACTGCTGAGCTATCTCACAGGCCCTTTGTGTGTTATTTTACCATTGCCAGGTGGAGCTTTGTTTTCATTTTGATGGTGGTGTTACTAGGGTTGAACCAAGGCCTTCACAGTGAGCTACAATCCTAGCCCTTTTGGATTTTTTTATTTTGAGATAGGGCCTCATTAAGTCAACAGTTTGTTCAGCCTGGTCTCCAACTTGTGATTTTCCACTACTACTACTACTACTACTACTACTACTACTACTACTACTACTACTATCTTTTGTTCTGTGATGCCAGAGATTGAACCCAGGGCCAGGCTCACCTTAAGCACAGGCAGGGTCCGTCCCTGTGCCACACTCACAGCCCTCCTTATCTTTTTGGATCTGGGATGCAAATGTCTCATTCTCTTGGCTTCCCTTCTGGAGTCTTGCTGGTGACTGTCTTAAACTTGTGGCTTCTTCTTCCATGGAGAAGTAGAGGACAATTGGTTCCTGGCTGTGAGCCTTGCTTTTCTTGTTACTGAAGCAGGCCTGGTGGCAGTTGGAGACTTGGGCTTGTGAGGGTGGCTTTACCTTGCCTGTCTTCCTTGCCCCCATGACCTTGTGTTGGCAGAGGTTAGCTCCCTTTAAAGCTCTGAAATTGGAGCTGAAACAGCTGCTCTTGGTACCCCTCCCCTCTCAGGCCCTGGGGGCCCAGGTAGAGGTGGGGGTTGGGCAGGGCAGGGCAGGGCAGGGCATGGCATGGTAGGGCAGGACCTTGTAGCTGGGAGCAAAGAGCCACCAGCTCCTGTATTCTGGTTCAAATGTTGCCTTGACAGCTTCTGATTTGCAGGTTTGTTTTGTTTTGTTGCAGTGCTGGGAATTGAACTTGGGATCTTGAGCTTGTCAGGCAGGCACTTATGCCATTGAGCTATATCTCCAGCACTGACTGCTTCTGAAAGGACAGTTTTCCCCTTGCTTTTGGTTTTCCCATCTGGATGTTGGAGAGATTCTGGTCAAACCTATGTGACTGCCCCTGGTAGGGACTGGATCTTTGGAAAATTCCCCACTAGGATCCCAGGCTAAAGTCTGTGCCTACTGCCTCTGGGCCTGGATACAGACATCCTCCTGGAGAGGTAGCTGGCTGGGCTGGGCTGGGCTCCCCTGGGAGGGAGTTTAGCAGGCAGGCAGCCCCCAAGGGTGGGGACTCACTTCCTGCAACCCAAACTGCACGGGAACAATAGACTTCAGAGGAGTCACCAGGGCCGGAAATGGGAGCTGTGCTGAGGCAGGGGTGACTCTCTTGGGGGATGGGATTGCATATCCGGTTGAGTGCAGGGGGCAGTGCACAGGGCACAGGGGTTGGTCTTTAGGGTGAGACCCTCCTCCCAAGGGGGCAGGGGACTTGTAGTGAAACCTGAGCTCTGAGGGCCTTTTATTTGGCGGAGGTTTCTGCTATGTGTCCTTCTAGCAAACATCTAGTGGTGTCTGCCAGCCTCTCCTGCCAAGCTCAGCCATACCAGCTCTGTGCAGTCTCTGACTCTCCAAGGCCCCGAGATAGCTTCGTGAACAGCTCTGGCCAAGCTAAAAGGCCAGTGTTGTTTCTTCCTGGCTGTGCTCCATCTTGGCGCTGAGCCTGAGTAATGGTTGATGTGGAAGCGATGTTGTTGGGCAGAGGTCTGTGTAGGAAAGCCCAGGCTAGAGCAGCTGAGCAACAGGAGTGTGTTTCTTGGGCAGTCTGAGCTGGATAAGCAGGGGCTGCGACATTCCCAAGCAGGGGACTTTACCTCACTGCCCTCTGTAAGGGAGCATCCGATGCATATAGTGCTGTGCTTGAGAGGTGGCAGTTTACGTGGGCTTCTCTGCTTGAGTTCAGGTTGGGTCCTGAGAAAAGTCCCAAGGAGCAGACATGGAGCCCCTGTGGGGACCTGGCAGGTGCCCCATGGATTTTCTTTTTCTCTCTTTTATCTTTTTTCCCTTTTTGAGATAGGGTTTCACTATGCAGGTCAGGCTGGCCTTGAACTCACTTTGTAGCCCAGGCTCGCCTCAAACTCATGGTGATCCTACTGCCTCAGCTTCCTGAGTTCTGGGATTACAGGCATGTGCCACGACACTCACTCTGATGGATTTCTCAAAGGGACGGAAAGTGGCACACTGAGCTTCTTTTGTTCCCTTGCTAATCCTGGGTCAGATTTTTCTATTTCCGGGTTGAGGATCCGCTTGGGGGCTCCACTCATGCTAGGGCAGTACTGTGCCACTGAGCTACATCCCCAAGGAGTGTATTGCACTGTGGGTCAGAGGTTTTGGTGTGGTTTGTTTCATTTTGCTTTGCTTTGTTTTGTGACAAGGTCTCACTTTGTACTTCAGGCTGGCTTTGAGCTCAGGCTGGTCATGGTGATCCTCCTCCATCAGCCTCCTGCATGCTGAGATTACAGGCATGTGCCACCATACCAGGTTGGCCAGACTGTTGAACCAAAAAAATCCATGGAGACCTTGAAAATGAAGCCGACATGGATTCGCTCTACCGAGCCTCCACAAACAAAGTCAATTTGGATGGAAGAATATTCAGCAGGTATTTTCTTTTCCTTTTTTGTTACAATTTGTGTCTAGATGTCCCTCCAAAGCCACATGTGGTCATAGGGTTTTTGAGTTGGCTGAATCTAGAGTGCGTAATTGATTCATAATGCAGTTCTGGGATTAAGGGTAGGTGATTGCTGGATCAAGCTACTGAAGGGATTGGCACTGCCCCGATCCTTTTTTTTTTTTTTTTTTTTTGGCAGAACCGGGATTGAACTCAGGCCTCTGCACTTGCCAGGCAAGCACTTATTCCACTGAGCTGTCTCCCCCAGCCCCTGCCCTGATCGTGGTAGACGGATACAATATACCAGATAGGAGAAGGCTTGTCTCTCCTTTCCTGCTGTTTTTGATGTCTTGTCCTGCCATGAACTGTTGCCCCTCTACCATGTGCCACCTTGCCCCAGAGCCAGCCAATTATGGTCTGAAACCTCTACAAACTGTGAGCTAACTAAACCTTTCCTCTCTTTTTTTTAAAAATGTATTTAGTACAGGCTCTACAGGGTCTCACTATGCAGCTTGAACTCAGTGATCCTCCTGCTTTCAGCTTCCAAAACCCTGGGATTATAGGCACATGCCACTACACCCAGACTCAGACTTTTCCTCTTCTAACTGTAGGTGTTAGGTGTTTTATCTCAGCAATGAAAAAAGTAAGATGCTTTTGCAGTGCTGAGGACTGAACCTGGGGCCTTGCGAGTGCCAGGCAAGGACTCTATCAGTTCTTTGGGAAGGATTTTTTTTTTGGTGGAACTGGGGATTGAACTCAGGCCTTTGTGCTTGCCAGGTAAGTGTTTATTCTACTGAGCCATCTCCCCGCCCCCTGGGAAGGATTTTTAATCTTGTGATTTTCTTGGGAATAGGAGAAAGGTGGTCTGATGGCACAGCTATAAGTTGGATGGTTAGCTGTTGGAACAGCCACCCTAGGTACTGCTAAGGAGCTGGTGGCACCTAGGGAATTTCTAGGGTCACACATAGGGGATCTCTTACGTCGCTTTCTGCCTGTGCGGTGGGTAGGGAGTTCAGTGGAACCAGAATTCTAAATCATCTCAGATGACTGCAGTGCTTAGTGAGCAGACCGATAAACTAAAATATTTCTGTTAATTCTTGAAATCAGTACAAAATCATTATAGATATTTGGAAAAGAAAAAAAATCATGAAGAAAACAAGATAGTACACAGGAACAGTACTCGGGCACAAACCAGTGTGGGGGTGACGTCTTGTCAAGGAAAGCCTTAAGCTCTGTGACACTCTGGCCACACTGAGAGCCACATCTGGTTTTCAGAGGGAGGGACATCCTGTGCTATTAAGAATAGAGCTTGTTGGATGTAGCTGAGTGGTGGAGCACTTGCTTTGCATGGGCAGTGCCTTGGGTTCATCCCCAGCATTTGCAAAGAAAACAGGAGAATTGTGCTTGTTATTCCATGGTTGTGTCCTCCCCCAGCTCCCAGCTCTACTGGGGATTGAACGAGTCTTTCACTGAGCTATATCTCTGCCCTTTTTATTTTTTATTTTGAGATGGGATCTTAGTGAAGTCATTGAATTACCCAGGCTGGGCTTGAATTGGGTGATCCTCCTGCCTCAGCCTCCCAGAGTGCTGGGATTACGTGTGCTGCACCATATCCAGCTCTGGCAAGTATCTTTACCAGAGCGTTCATAAGGGATTAGAACTGCCCATTATCATTTCTAGAAGGTGAGCCCTCTTTTCAGCAATAACAGGTTAAGCCCAGTGGTCTGAAGTTACTTCATTGTATAAAACTGCAAAGAAATTGTGGAACAATGTGGCGCTTGTTTGGGGCTCTATTACAGGCTCTCAGGCCTCTGCTGGACTGGTTCTGGGGTGCTGGGTTTCTCTATGTGTTTGCATATGAAACTGTACTGGATGATGGTTGAGATATTTTTCCCGCCTTGTGTTCTGGGATTCCTGCTGGAGGGAGGTGAAACTAAACTGGCTTCCAAGCTGAAGGTAAGACAGGGAGAGAGGTTCATGCCCAAGCAGGGAGAGGAGAGCATGCCTGGTTTTGGTGGCTGGCACACGCGCCAGGGGTTCTGGGGCTGGCCCGGCATGCCTACAAGGGAATCAAACTCAGGTCCTTGTGCTTGACAGGCAGGTGCTTAGACCACTGAGTTATCTCCCCAGCTTCCTAGATAGATTTAAATTATCTAGGAGCTGCATTTATAAATTTATGCCAGGCAGGGTGGTGCATGTCTTTGATCCCAGCACTCTGGAGGCTGAGGCAGGATTGCCTTAAGTTCAAGGTCAGACTGGACTATGTAGTTAGCTCAAGGCCATCCTGAACTTCACAGAGAGACCCTGTCTGCTTCAGCTATTAAACTTGTAGTGATCCTCTTGTTTCCATCTTCTGAGTGCTAGGATTACCAGGCCCATCATTAAAAATTAAAAAAAAAAAACAAAACATTTAAGGTGTGGTGGCATATATTTCCAGGTACTTGGGAAACTGAGGCAGGAGGATGGAAAGTTTGAGGCCAGCCTGGGCATTTTTAATGAGACCATCTCAAAAGTAAGAAATAAAGCAGGGCTGAGGATGTAGCTCCATGGGGGGAGGGTGCCTCTGGGTCCAGTCCCAAGCAAGCCCCCACATAAAAATTGTGGGGAAGGCAGTGGTAAAGTGCTCACCTAGCATGTACAAGGCCAGGGCTTCCCTCTCCAGCTATAGCAAAGTAAGTAAATAAGCAAACCGTCCAAAACACCAATGCCCCAGGAGGAGTGTGTTCATTCTATAGTGCAGATATGTATTAATAAAAACAAAAGCTGAAGAAACAATTGGAAAAAAGTTTAAAAAAAAAAAAAACCTGGTGAAATAAATTGTAATAAAATAATTTACTTAACCTGCTGTCATATTAAGATTTTAACACAGTTTATAAGCTTTCCTAGACAGTGCAGGCAATCTCCTGGGCATTGTACACCTAGCAGCACATCAGTGTGGACAGGTGGGGCGGGCAGGTACTCGGAGCAGTTGGCTTTCTCAGCGTTTGCTGGGGTTGAGTCCCTGTCTCAGGAGCTGCGGGAGTCTGGGCTAACCTTCAGCTGCTCCATGTCTCAACTTTCCCTTCTACAAAATGAGGATGGTGTTGGTGGAACCAGTTCCACAGTTGATGTGAAGGTTAAATGGGTTAATATTTATGAAATGCTTGGTTCTCTGCCTGGCACCTCACCTTAGTCACTTTTGCCTGGCACCTACAACTTAAGGGAGGAGAGGTTTATTTTGCTTCATGGTTTCGTCTGTAGTTGGCTTGGAGGAGGGCTGCTTGAGAGCTGTTTGAGGGCTGGTGAAGGAAAAAGCAGAGTGCCAGGGTGGAGCTGGGGAGAGAAAGCAAGCCCCTCCTCCTCCTGGGTGGGCCTCTTCTGGCCAGTCCCCTAACAGCCAGCCAACTATAAACCCACATAAACTAGTCACCTCCCAGAACCCCACGTTCTGGGCGGACATCTCCATATAAACCATAGCACATCTACTAAGTGCTTCTGTGCTTGTCCAATAAATGATCCTTACAAACTAGACAAAGTGAGCCAGTCATGTTGGCACAAGTCTGTAGCCACAACACTCACGAGGCTGAGGCAGGAGAACTGCAGCAAGTTTGAGGCCAGCATGGACTTAAAGCTAGACTGTCTCAAAAGCCAAAAAAGAGGCCGGGGAGATGGCTCAGTAGAATAAGTGCTTGCCTGGCTAAGCACAAGGGTCTGAGATCAATCCCTGGTTCCACCATCCCCCCCCAAAACAAAACAAAACAAAACAAACAAATAAAACCCCCCCAAAACATGAACAAACAAAAACCAACAAAGAAACAAAAAAGACACCCCCTCCAAAAAAACCCCAAACACTTAGACAAGTTGCAATAATTGGGCAAGGTTGTGATATGCTTGGAAATTCCTACTTGCACTGTGAGTGGCTCTGTGAAGTGACTGGTGGTCAGGAGAGGTAATTGTGCTTTGTGAAAATGTCTCTGATCAGATGGAGACAATCAGTTATTGCAGAAGAGGACCTGCCTAGTGACAGGACAGCTGCAGTCCCTCTAGATGTATGTCCTGAGCATCTGTCATGGGGCTTGAAGCTGTGGTGGTAGGCACACCAGAAGCACAGCACCCTCACAAATGCTCCATCGTCAGCCGTGTGACCTCGTGTTGGAATAGGAGCTCAAGTTACTTGAGCCCTGGAGTTTAGGCAGTAGCTGCCCTGCTCATTAGAGCTTTGTTGGTGGCTTTCTGTTCCTCCCAGGACACTGCCAGTCCCAGCAGTACTGGCCTTCTTCTGGCCTGAGGCCTTCGCCAGCCCCTAGCAGTCATAGGGCACCCACTGTGTGCCCAGTACTGGGCAGGTACAGGTGGGAGGCCCGGCCTTTATTTTAGGAGCTTGGTGTTGGTGGGGAGATAGACTGAACTGCTAATGCTGACAGCCCGGGGGATGAAAGAAGGGCAGGTTAGGAGGCACAAACAGTGCGTGCCATGGGTGCCCAGCAGAGGGTGACCTGTTCTGCGGGGGCCCAGAGGGCTTGGGGATCCGTAGAGGAGGCGTTCGAGCTGGCTCTGAGGATGGGGACATGAGAGTTGCTGTGGATGTGTGGGGTCAGGGCCACAGGCTGTGAGAAGGCCAGACGTCCGCGCAGACGCCAAGACTGGCTCAAGGGCCGTGTGCGCAGGAGAGGAGGTGGGCGAGGTGCTTTAGAGCTGCACCCTTTGGGCAGACTGAGAAGGACTTTTTCTTTTTTGTGGTGCTGGAGTTTGAATCTGGATCCGCGTGAATGCCGTTCAAGTGCTTTACCATTGAGTTACACTCGCAGCAAGGATTTATTTTATTTTATTTATTTATTTGTTTTGGTGGCTCAGGCTGCCTGAAGGGCAGGGCTAGCTGGGGATTAAACCTCTGTATCCTGCTCCTGACTGCCTTTACTTAAGCAGGCACGGAAAGGACTGAACTAAGGGCAGGCCCCCCTATTTTAAATTTATTTCAAATTTACATATAGCAAAAGAGATTCTCTGGTATT